GCCCCAAGCACCACCGACCGGCCGCAAGCACCCACCAACCGGCCCCAAGCACCCACCGACCGGCCCCAAGCACCCACCGACCGCCCCAAACACCCACCGAGACCGACCGGCCCCAAGCACCCACCGACGCCAACGGCAAAGGGCCTCGCTACACTACTCTCGACATCCACAAAAAACAAAAATCATGACAGTGTATCTGTTCGTATTTCAAGAGTAGTGCAGCAAGGCCCAAAGCATAAAAGAGAACGCAAAAACGAAACGAAACCGAACTCGCCCGAGAAAAAAACAAACGCCAAACGCGTCTAGACGTCCACAAAAAACAAAAATCATGACCGTGTATCTGTCCGTATATCAACAGGATTCGTGAAAACCCAACAAACCCAATAAAACCCAACATTTTTTTAGAATGAAATCGTAGAAGTTAAACAGTTGTCTTTGACAGAAAAAAAAAACAGCGTCTTTAATCCTTTCTCGAGAGACGAGACCAAAAACTGAGCAAAAAGTGAAGCGATATTAAGAATGTGTCGGGAAACCCTTTCTAGCAAAGATCCAGTTATAGGACTATAAGTGATTTCCAACAGACCGGCAAATAGCAGAGCTCCAAAAAAACAATTGCAAGGCGAACTCGAAAACTGTAAAAAAAAACAGTTCTAGTGAATACTGATGTATAGGACTATACGTCATTCTCAACATTATAAATTCCCATAAAGCAATTTTGAAGCTAACAGCAGAAACGTTCCAAAAATATATATGATACGTAAAATAATAATACAAACAACTTTTGCCTCGGATGCATCTTCAAATTATAATTCAAATCCAAGTTAAAAATAAAGATTTGAAGAAAAAAAAAATAGAAATCTATTAAAAAAAAAGAAAGGTTGCCCATAAAAGGGAGAACATGTTAAGGCGAATGTAGTCACTAACAAGATAACATGTTAGTCTACTTACCAAACCCTCGAACACGTTCCCCATGCTACATGACTTATAGGACTATACACATGATCTATTGAGACATCAAAAAATCTGCGTATTTCAATTCCTTAATAAACAGTGTTTCGTTTGTTAGTGAATTTTTTGGAAAAAACGTGTTTTTTTTCCACGCCACTTCCAGTGATTCTAAAAAATTACCTTTTTATTGAAGTTGTTTTACTTCACGTATAATTTTGCTCCTACGGGAGGCCTAAATACTGTACTTTCTGAATCTTCAATTAATTTTGTTCAAACCCAACATTTTTTTTTGTTGGCTTTTCACGAATCCTATGTTGAGTAGTGCAGTGAGGCCCAAAGCATAAAAGAGAACGCAAAAACAAAATGAAATCGGACTCGCCCGAGAAAAAAAAAAACGCCAAACGCGTCAGACGCATCAGGCGCGTCAGAATTTTACATCGGACGTCTCACGCTTCGCGATACAAACGATCGCGCGTCAGAATTTTACATCGGACGTCTCACGCTTCGCGATGCAGAAACACTAACGTGGACTATTGCAAATGCGAGACTCGGTGCCGCGACCGATAAGCTTTAGTAGGATTGTTTGATAATAATAATAATAATAATAATAATAATAATAATAATAATAATAATAATAATAATAAGTTTTCAGGGACGGGCAAACTGACAGTCAATCCTCCAGATCTGTGGAGCAATCAATGGTGATCAGGGTCGCTTCGGCCAGCAGAAGGGGTTGTGTGTGGGTATATTGATGTAATCCTGTTCATATGACTTGCGGGGGGAATAGGAACCGGACTGATGTTCCCTAGAATGGACATGGAGCCACGACCGTAAGGACCTGAGCATGTGTGTGTTCAATGTGTGCATTTGGTCTGTGTCTGTGTGTATGAATGCCAGTGTGAGCAATATGCGTCTGCAGAAGACTACGGAGAAGACTGAGAGGCTCTGAGGGGGACAGGGTAGAAAGATTTTGAGTCGAGATCTGTGTGCAGCACCCCCCTATGGAAGGCAGTATCACCCCTGAATCCATACATGCTTGTCAAGTATTGTTGTAGCTGCCGCGTGACCCCTTTCTTAGTACTCAGATGCATAAATTGCCCCTAGGAAAGGAATCAGCATAAGGGTCATTTCTAGGGCATCCAATCCGTCAGACATAGAAGCTTTTTTTTGTTCTGTCTTTGATTACCTTCTATCAGACAGAAAAGAAATTCAGAAAACATCATCACACATATTTCCATGCATCTGACTTCTTCTCAGAAAATTGAGTTTTTTTACACCCAGTTTTCAACAGGCAGTACCTGCACCACCCCCTGCCTCAGTGGGATCTCAGAAATGTTTCCCACACCCCATGCTGGTAGCACGCCCACGAACAAATCAGAAACTGGATTTCCGGAGGGTTTCCAGAGCGCCCGACTGTGTGGTCCCCACCTGTATGTCCAGGGTAAGTTTCTCCAACTTCGCCCTGGCCCCTAGGTGCAGTGGTCCCTGATTTTCCAGTTCTGACAAGGAAAGCAGGTCATACCAAAAGGAATTAAA